AAAAAAAAACAATGGGGAAATATTCTTTTGAAAATTTTGTAACAGTTTTTACTCAATTAAAATATATAAAGAGTTGTCTAGCGAAACTTCTCACTAAGTTCGTTCAGCACAAACTGCTGCCCTTCAATGATATTATCAACAGAAACAGCAAAATACGGATTAGCTTCATCAGTCATCACCCAAGATCCACTGGCAATTTCCAGCTGACCAGTTGAAATCATTCTAGAAACTAACAAAGAAATTTTGAATTAGCAAATAGTTACAGTAAACCATGTTTTTTTAGTCCCAAAAAGACTGTCGTATTCGTATAATACAGAACCTGACAAAAGCTGAACACTGTATTAAATAACCAAATATAACAATAGAATTCTATTTCAAATTTATTAATATCAACAGCAGCATGATTGCTAACTGCTTTATTTTTAAAATTTTATTCGATAATCATTTCAGTGAAAGATATTTTTAAACGATCTCTAACAGAGAAAGAGAGCATACGGGAAAAAACGATGAATAGTTTTCTAATTTTGATAAAGCTTAATTCTATTTTGCAAGCACTGGATAAAGAACAAACTTCTTGATATCGTTTTTAACGGTTTCATTCACATTTCTCCACCATTTTTCCATAAAAGAAATTTCGCACCACATAAAACGCATTTTTGGATGTGTTGTCATAAAACTATGGAGATTATTCAAGATTTGATTGGTGTCCTCGGCGTACTTTTCAAATGTTTTCAGCCATCCTGGTAGAAAAGAAATATTGGTGATACAGTTGGTTACAGAATTTAAAATTTTATCATTTACATTTCTTTCTTTAAAATGCTTTGAACATAAGAAAAATTTACCTGGATCAGCATGAGTCATTGGCAGTATAAATACTTTTAATTTTGTTGAGTCGACTTTCAACCTCTCATTTGCAATTAACGGTTTTTTTGACGCAACCTGCTCTCCATAGATTTTGAATGTCTTAAAGAAAAAGCAGTTCAGAGGTTTTTTTCGCATAGAGTTGTACAT